ATTAAGACAGAGTTAGCCAGTAAGAAGCCCTAGCTATTGGCTAACAGTTTAATGTTTATTTGGGGCAAAGCGGCTGTGGGACCAGACTGGAAAGAAACTCCAGCAACAGGAAGGAGTTTAGGAGTCTAATTGGAAAATTGGTGAGAAGGGGTGATAGGCTTTTCCAAATGGGCAAACAATATGTTTTTCTGTCTTCTCTCATTACTGTGAGAAAGACCCCCAAGCAGCTTAAGGGAAAGGATCTATTTCACTGCATTTAATGGCTCCAGCCCATCACTGAAGCATTAAGACACAACTGGTCACAATGTCCACTGCAGAGAGCACAGAGAGGACACAGACCCAGCCAGGTGCAGACGCCTAAACTCTGGCCTTGGTACTGCTGGCCATTCAGCTCGGCTCTGCTCCCAAGTGAGGAGCAGGAGTCTAAGGGAACATTTTTCATTCAAACCAGGACATTCCACCCCTCGCCCCTAGGTCATGGTCATCTCATAATGCAGAATGTGTCTCCACATTCACGACAGTCTGGGGCAGGCATGGGTTGCGGTGGCTTCACTCCAGCCTGTGATGCCTATCATAGAAGTACACTTCTTGATTTTGGCAGGCTGAGGCCAGACCTGTGCCCAGTACCTTTCAGCAGCTCTGGGCTGGGTGGACTATATCCACCCAAGCACACTTTATGTCGTATACTCTGGGAATAACTGCTCAAACTTAGGTCAAGCTCTATCCTTTTCATTTGTGTTATTTTGTTCCTTTTCTGAGCCATTGCTCTGCCTTTAAAGCCTTCCCGAAGCTCACATGAACATTATTGAGCTCGCTGCATTTCCCCTGGGAACTGTCTTGACACAGCCTTGTCACATCAGTCTTGGAGTCTCCCCCACAGACCCTCATGTTGGCCTCGTGTGCTCCCCTGCTGTTTTCTCTTGAATTTTACTAACACCATGTACCTGCTGGTGTTTATTATTAAGGTAGGCCGGCGCTGGGCGCTGGTGGCGCACGCCTTTAATCCCAGCACTCGGGAGGCAGAGGCAGGCGGATCTCTGTGAGTTCGAGGCCAGCCTGGTCTACAAAGTGATTTCCAGGACAGCCTCCAAAGCCACAGAGAAACCCTGTCTCGAAAAACCAAAAAAAAAAAAAAAAAAAAAAAAAAAGACAGGCTGGCACTTCCATCATAAAGGTCTTGTGTGACCATGGGCTTCAGCAGAAAACTAGAACCCTATACCTTCCCTGAGGTCCCTGCTGGATCAGTCTTTTAGCTCCCTGTAATCACAGTGTCACTAATCACAGTGTCACTAGCTCCAGCAAACACTGGATCAGTCTTTTAACCCCCTGTAATCACAGCATCACTAGCTCCAGCAAACACTGGGTCTCTAGGTTGAACTCCTGTGTGTCCTCTATTATCTGCTAGTTCCTAATATTCATCGGGACCTCAGCTGTCCATAATGATGCCAAGAGTCAGCCCAATGGGGGCAGATTTGTCTCCTTTTCCTTCAGTTGATACGTAGTTTCTGCCCCTTTGTAGCACCCAGACGGATCTCATCTGTCCCCATATCCCAGTTTCAGGAAATCATGTGACCAGTTCCTCCACTGTTTAAAAGTTCAGAGTTCGGTTCCCACAGCCTACATCGTGGTTCACAATCCTCTTTAACTCCAGTTCCAGGGAATCTGATGCCCTCTTCTGGCCTCCATGGGTATCAGGTATGCATGTAGCACACATACACACATGCAGGCGAAACACTCACACAATAAAAGCAGTAAATGGCAGTCTTTAACAATGCAACACTTGACAGAACACCCCTGTCGTATTGGCCCACTTAAAGTGTTCCCATGTGGTGGTGAGTCATGGACGAACCCTTTCTCGTTACTAAGGACCAGGCCTAGGGCCTATCTTTCCCACCTTTACCTTGCTGTCTTCTTCAGTCTCTCTCCATGTTATCTACTTTTCTGGATCCTAGGATGAGCTTTTTAGCATAGATACAGTTTGTACTCTTTTCTTTGCATCCTGCCAAATTTAAGGAAAACACAACTGGGGAATAAAGGGCTTTCTTATCACAATCCATCATGGAAGGAAGCCAGACAGGAACCTGGGGGCAGGAGCTGATGCAGAGGCCATGGAGGGTGCTGCTTACTGGCTTGGTCCCCATGGCTTGTTCATTCTGCTTTCTTATGGCATCCAGGACCACCAGGCCAGGGGTGGCTCCACCCACAATGGGTTTGGCCCTCCCACATCAATTGCTAATTAAGAAAATGCCCTATGCATCTGCTCCACTATGTTCATAACAGCATTATTTGTAATAGCCAGAACCTGGAAGCAACCTAGATGCCCCTCAACTGAAGAGTGGATAGAGAAAATGTGGTACATTTACACAATGGAGTATTACTCAGCAGAAAAAAAACAATGGAATCTTGAAATTCGCAGGTAAATGGATAGCACTGGAAGAAACCATCCTAAGTAGGTAACCCAGTCACAAAAAGACAAACATGGTATGTACTCACTCATATATGGATTTTAAACATGGATCAGGAGAGTGGCAGTCTGCACTTCCACTGACAGAGAATCTGGGAAACAGGAAAGAACCTAAAAGATATACACAGTACCCAAGAGAAGAGAAATGATCGGGAGGCAGAGGCAGGCGGATCTCTGTGAGTTGGAGACCAGCCTGGACTACCAAGTGAGTTCCAGGACAGCCTCCAAGGCCACAGAGAAACCCTGTCTCGAAAAACCAAAAAAAAAAAAAAAAAAAAAAAAAAGAGAGAGAAGAGAAATGAGGCAAGATCCTCTGAACAGATGGGGAACACAGCCAGGGCTGGGGGGGAGGGGGATCTGGGAAATAGAGAGGGGGAGAAGTGGAAGAGAGAGTAGGACGTGGAGGAACAGGAAGGTCGACTGGGGGGGGTAGAATAGGGGGAAGAGGGAATCATAGGTTAGAAGACAGATCAGGCACCATTGTGACCTCTAGTGATCTAAATGGATGACACCAATTGGCAAGCTAAGCAATAGTGTAGAGACCACCTCGAATGCCTATTCCTGATAGTGTCTATAACCATCCTGGAGCCTTCATCCAGAGACTGATGGAAGCAGAGGCAGACACCCACAGTTAAATACTGAACAGAACCCAAGGAACCCAGTGACAGAGAGGAGCGAAGAGCAAATTGGCAAAGAATGGGCTGGCAAAACCAGCAGAGACAGCTGATCTGAACAGGGGAGAGCTCTTGGACCCCAGACCAACAGCTGGGAGGCCAGCATGGGACCGATGCAGACCCCCTGAATGTGAGAGTCAATGAGGAGGCCTGGGCTACCTATGGGGTCCTGAGCAGTGGACCAGTGTTTATCCCTCGAATACTAACAGACATCGTGTGTCCATAACACAAAGAGGGATGGTCTCCCTGCCTGGACTCTTAGGGAAGTGCCTGGACCCTACCCTGAATTAAATGATAGACTCTAGATATCCCCTATGCAGAAGGAATTGGCAATAGGGTGGGAGGATGGGGGGGATGGTAGGGGGTGCGGGAGGAGGGGAGGGAGAGGGAACTGGGATTGACATGTAAAACAAGCTATTCAAAATTTTAAAAAATGTTAAAAAAAAAAAAAAAGGAAAATGCCCTATAGGTTTGCCTTATCTGATGGGGACATTTTTTTCAACTGAGGGTCCCTCTTCCCAAATGACTGTAGCTTGTGTCAGGTTGACATAAAACTAGGCAGAGTACCATCCAATCCATACTACACCCTGCTTAAGATTGTGCCTCATAAAAAATATGCTTAGGGACTGAAATAAATGTTTTATTTTTGGCTCTTTTGAGACAGGCCATAGTTTGTCTGGAATTCACTATATAAACCTTGCCAACCTCAATCTCTTAGAACTCAGCCTCCCAAGTGCTGAGATTAAGGCATGCACCACCAAACTCTGCTGTAATACATTCTTTAGTCCATACTCATAGGAAGGCATGCCACCAAATACCAAACAGGAGATGGCCACACTGGTACTCCTTCCAGTGACACTCAAAGTTTTGTGTTGGTTGCATAACCTATCGTCCATCTCATGAAGCCAGAAACCACCAGGAGCAAAACCATCTCATACCACACTGAGAAGGTAGTTTTCATATTTGTTGCCGTGATAAAACATCTTTGTAGGAGGAAAACAATGCCACCATTAACCATGTGACTTACTAGAGGCACACACAGATGAAGTAATAAAAGGGCAGTTTACCACACCGCTAACCACACCCACTTTAGGCATGACTAAAGACGTATATGGACGTAGGCGGTGAACTACGTCACTAGCCAGGCCCACTTTTGGGCATGGCTAGGGGCGTTACGGAGGAAGGTATAAAAGACTGAACAACGGAAGTCTCGGTCTCTTTTTCTGGCTTTCGGCTTCCAGTTCGGCGGCGGAAAACTACTCGGCTCATCTGGGTTACTTGTTTGGTCTCTTGTGAGTAATTTCTACAATAAATACTTATTTTTACTTTCAGTAAGTGTGCCGTTTATCGTTACAGCATCACATCTTAAAAGAAACTGTGTGTGTGTGTGTGTGTGTAGAGATCATTTACTTGGCCTTCAAGTTTTGATATTCTACACAGATAACCTCTGGCCAATGAAGAGCAGTAAGAGCCACGAGGATGCTTCTTGCTGACACGAAGGCAGGCTGGTGCTGGTGCTGGACTAGCACTCAGGGACACCTGCTTCATCAATTAACAATCAAGACAATCTCCTACTGACACGCCTGCAGGCCACCGGTTTAGGAAATGCCTCAGTTGAGTCTGTCCCTAGCTAACTCAGGCGCTGTGTCTGCTTGACAATGAATGCTGTCCAGGGCAATAGCTGTACTAGAATTTCTACCATCACGCCCCGTCTTCACACTTTATCTAAAAACATGTTCTCTTTAATATCCTTTACCCTCTCCCCAAAGTTGTTTCTACAACTGGCTATTTTGGTATTCTTGATGGCTTATTTATGCTTTTCCATTTTCTTTTTAATTAAAAAATTATAAAACAGGCAGGCATTGTGGCACACATCTTTAATCCTAGCACTTGGGAAACAGAGGCAGGCAGATCTAAATATAAAAATTAGAAAACATATTACTTGTAATAGAATACTGATGTTACAGTGATGACAGCAAGCCATACATAAAACACAGGGAAAACATATTAAACAGTCCTAGAGACTTATTTCTCAATAAAACTAAACCAGTTTGAAACTTAGGTCCTTTTGTAACAAGCGCTTAAAAATTGGTTTTCGCTGAAGGCATTTATTTCTGCTTAGTATGTGGTCCACAGGCCCCTCCCGGGTGTTCGTGCAGCTCACAATTGTGCCAAAAGAACCATATCACCAGCTGTCAATTCTGTTTCTCTACAGCCCTTCCTGTACCACAGATGGTTTAGCAAGGGACCCTATGGAGAACGGACTAAGAGACTGTATGTGTGCAGTGAAAGGGGATTCGGCTTACAGAGTGGGGCTGGGCAGCCCAGTGATGGCCATGTGTATGATGGACAGTCCAGCAGCCGTTCAGGGTATGGAGCTGGATACTTGAGCTGTCTCTTTGGCAGTCAAGGCCTAGAAAATTCTTAGAGCTACTGCTATTCTCTTCATGTTACAAGGCCAGAAGATGTCTCTGGAGGACTGTGGCAGTAGCCACACCCAGCAGCAAGAAGGAAACACATGCAGGTAGAAGACAGTCAGGTGTCTTTTTTTTTTAACATCCTGGCCACAAGGCAAAAGGTGCCACCATGTTCTTCATCATGGCCTCGATAGATGCTATGACAGGACACACATAAGTCATCTTATCCTATGAGGGGATTATCAGTGAGAGATGTGAATATGTTCTCACTCATGTGGAAACTGCCACAGACCTTTTATAAGCACATCCATGCATAAGGGGTCTCACCCAACTCAGGTATGTATAGGTGCCACAGAAGAGTGAGTGACAAAAGTAGTCATTAATGCCAGTGAACAGAGCCCATGTAACAGCAGCCGGCTGCAGTCGCATTCACCTGACTTACAGACCCACTGCGGCCAGAGTGTGTTTTTAGTGGGTTATTAAAATAGCAACTAAAGTGTTTAAGTAATGAAGGTATCTGCATGGGGAGGGGACTCCTAGTGGTTGCTAAATAAAGACCCCAGTGCCAGGCATAGCCTGCTGTACTTGTTGGACAAGGAGGCCCCTGAGATCACAAACCTCAAAGTTTACTGTCACTGCTCCTGGTTCCATGCCAGAACTGGATGGTAAGACCTTAGTGTTGTGTAGCCCACAGCCACTGGTGAAAATGCAAGTGAGGGCTTCTGTGGTATAGACTGCAATGCTCGGTCACAGACACTGTTTACACCACCCCACCAAGGCTCAAAAACATAAAAAATGTGAGAGCTAGAAAGACTGCCAACAAGAGGGGGCTGGAGCTGGGCGGTGGTGGCACAGCCTTAAATCCCAGCACTTGGGAGGCAGAGGCAGGCGGATCTCTGTGAATTTGAGGCCAGAATGGTCTACAGAGTGAGTTCCAAGGCAGAGATACACAGAGAAACCCTGTCTCAAAAAAAAAAAAAAAAAAAAAAAAAGAAAGAAAAAGAAAGAGGGAGCTGTTGACTTGATAAGTAAACAACTAACAAATTACAGAAAACTAAGCCTTCAAAGATATACTAGGACTTTCTCCAAGGTTACAAAAGCAGTAAACAGTTACAGAGAGAGGAGACTTTCTGGTTAGTTAAGCTGCTTGTAAAACTTTGCACAGTTCTCCAGAGTAGTAGCTGGAGTAGCATTTTGAAGATGCAGTTGTCCATAAGTTATCCATGTTCCTAGACGTAATCCTAACACAGCCATTGGTTTGCCTAGCTGGGCTTTGGTGGAATCATTTTCTGGGGTATGTAGACATTTGCTTGTGAGTTCTTTCATGTCTTTGAAGATGACTGTTACGACTGAAGGCTTTCCCACACTGTTTACATCCATAGGGTTTTTCTCCAGTATGGGTTGTTTCATGCCTCTGAAGATGACCATGACATATAAAGGCTTTGCCACATTCTGTACATACAAAGGGTCTGTCTCCAGTATGGATTTTTTCATGTAATTGTAGATTGCTGTAACATCCAAAAGCTTTGCCACATTCTGTACATACAAAGGGCCTGTCTCCAGTATGGATTTTTTCATGTAACTCAAGATTACTGCAACATTCAAAAGATCGGCCGCACTGTTTGCATATAAAGGGTCTGTCTTCAGTATGGGTTTGTTCGTGTCTCTGCCGATGACTGTTAAGTCTAAAAGCTCTACCACACTGTTTGCACACATAGGGTTTTTCTCCAGTATGAATCTTTTCATGTACTTGAAGATCACTATGACGTCTAAAGGCTTTGCCACATCGTTTACACTCATGACGTTTTTCTCCAGTATGAATTTTTTCATGTACCTGCAAGGCACCAGGAAATATAAACGCTTTCCCACATCGTTTGCATTCATAGGGTTTCTCACCAGTATGAATTCTTTCATGTAAGTGAAGGTAACTGTGGTATCGAAAGGCTTTCCCACATTGGTTGCATTTATAGGGTTTTTTCTCAGTGTGAATTCTCTCATGTCTTCTAAGTGAACTGTAAGAACTCAGAGCTTTACCACACTGATTACATTCATAGCGTTTTCCTACAGCATGAGTTCCTCCATGTGTGCATGGTGAACTAATATTAATAGAGGTCTTTCCACATTCCTTGTATTGATACAGACTTTTTCCACTATCTGTGTCCTGATGCCTTCCCAGTGTGTTTGGAAAACCAAAATATTTTAAACATATCTCACATTCACACGGCGCATTCACAACATGGGTTCTCATGTACCTTTGGAAGCTCATCAGAGAGTCAGAGTTACACTGCTTAGTCACATAGTTTTCATGCTCATGTGGATTGTATTTTGTGGCATGTCTACTAGAGGATGAACGATACCAGGACATCTTCCCACACACGCTGTGATCACATGGTGTTAGGCCAGTGGAACTTCTCATGCTCACACTGAGATCTGGTTTCCAAGTCAAGCTTTCTCTACGTTGATCACCACCTTCATCCTCACAGAAGGTCTGTAACATGTAACTTCTGTAAAGAAAACAGAAATTACAACAAAAGAGAAGCAATTAAATAATAGTTGTTTTACTACTGACTGCTTATTAGGTCTAGTTTATACACAGTTCCAAAGATCAGACGAGGTTTATGCATTTGCCAGATCTGAGTGGCCAGAGACTGAATGGACTGGTATTCTACATGCAGACTCTCACAGAGCTTTGACCAAAACAGTGATATCCATTAGTTCAAGTTCATACAATGTTTCCACGTGAAACACTTTGTTAACATTAATCAGCATGCTCCCATTTTAGTGCCTATTAACTGTAATTTTGGTAAAAATATTCAAATGAAAAATTCACATTGTGCCTATATGCTTAGTTTGTTTATCTGCAAATCTTTGTAGTATATCCAAATTCCTTTAAAGACTTCCTGTCGTGGTCATCACTGAAGAACAACAGAATTCTTCAAACCCTGTGGCCATGGGTAGGGAGTGGAGAAGCCCCAAATCAGTGAAATGCCGAGCAAATGTGTATTTTGAGATTGGTATGGCCTGTTGAGGACTCCAAGACTAATTGGCCCAAGGTAAACTGGCAAAGCCATTATTCATATGGCCCACACTTAAAAGGGAAGGCAAAGCTTTCTTTGGGAGCTTGAGTCTGACTGTTTATGAACAACTGATCAATGTGTGTGTAAAGACTAGTGATTACAGCTTCCTCCTCCCGGGCATTACAGCCTAAGACCATCCACCTACAGAGATCTACTCCCTGTGCTGTAAGAGATGTGAGGTTCCAGGCTGCAGCAGTAGCAGTTAGAGAATCCCATCTGATCCCAACTTCATTATATGTTTGTTCTTTCTTTATTCCTTCTCCACCTCTAAGCTACTAGGACTCAGGAGCCACGGGCCACAAACTTATTAATAACATGAGCAAGCTGACGTACAGCTGGCTCCAAACACACCGAGCTCATGTGTGACCCGATCAGAAGAGGTGTGGCTTTGTGTCCTATGAGCAGTGATTCATGGACCAGTTTAAGGTCTCCAAGGATAAGAAAGCACTCAAATTCATTATGAAGAGGATGGGTATACCATCCACACCATGCCAAGACAAAGCCAGAAAAGCTGAGTAGCAAACTAGCAGCTAGGAGGAAAGCCTGGGCAAGGGAAGCCTGTCTCCTCTCAATACACTTTTACACCTTTAAAAAGGATCCCTTCTGCATGCACATTACCTTAGATTTCTCCCAGGACTTTTATAACGGTCTTCAATGTTCTGGCCTTCCCATTTGTATCCTAAAACATAGCCCCAGAAGATTTAGGATAAGTTAGAAATTACTAAAAAATTAGTTTCTTGCTTTGGTTAACATTGAAACCCTGTCTGATATATTTAATATAATATGCCTTTCAACAGTCCAAACCCCAGCAGAGCATCGATGCCAAGAGACACTTGCTCCCTAACCTACAGCGACGCTAAGATGATGTCCTCACCTATGGCAGCGAGGTTCCGGCAGGTCTCCAGCATCACATCTCTGTACAGACTCTTCTGGGAAGGATCCAGCAGAGCCCACTCTTCCTGGGTGAAGTGCACAGCCACGTCCTCAAAGCTCACTGAGGCCTAAACATTGCACACATCAATTGACAAGAGGTTCATTCCACACTGTGGGGTCCACACATCTGTCCCATGACACAGACGCTGTCTTGCAAACACTGAGGATGTGGAAGGAAGCAGCCCTGCAGCAGCACCCTCTCATGACTGGGCCCAGGCACAGGACGTGCTGCTGCTCTGCCCCGGTCCTCTTTCTACAGGGAACTTCCACTTCCTGTCTCAGAGCCCTCCCACCCGATAGAACAGCGGTGACACTAGTATGTGAGCGTCTGCTTGTCCTTAGAAATTCCTGGTAGCAATGCTTACATTAAAAATGTATCTTTTAACTTTATGTATATGTGCGTATGCCTGACTGTATGTACGTATGTGTGTGTCGAGGTCCACAGAGGTTGGAAGAAGCATCACAACCCCTGGACCTGGAGTTATGGACAGTTTCAGCCACCATGTGGATGTTTGGCACTAAACCCAGCACATCCTCTGCAAGAACATTCGGTTCTCTTAGCCTGAGTAATTTCCCCAGCCTCAATGCTAAAATTTGATAGTGGAAGCAATCTTAATGTCTTGGTTGAAAATGCATGAATACAAATGATAAATAAATCACTCAGGATAAACGTTTAATGTCTATCTTATGGCACAGTCAAATTACACTCTTAAATTTACATCTCAACAGAATGATGTGAACTGCACACTATACCAGATGTGGACTTCTGATCTTAAGATTATCACGGCTGGTCAGGCCTTTATTTTTCCAGATTACTCCACATGATCAACCCATAGCCAGTGTTGGTGATCCTTACCTCCAAGTCACCTCTAGCCGGACTACCAGAGATAACTTCAGTGGGATTCACTGTCATGATGGAAGTCCTCTGTTCTAAGTGGGATGCTGCAGCTTAGGATGTTGACACAAGTAACATTCAAATGAACAGGAACATCTATTCACGCCTTTTCAACCGACAGTCCATGTTGTGAGGGCCAGCAATAGATCCTGCACTCTCCATTACCTCTGCCTTGGATGTGGCAAGTACACATAGCTGGTATATATTTGCTTCCCAGACCTCATGGGACTTTCATGAAATGTTAATAAGTGTCTTCTTACCCCACACTGGGCAACAATGACATGAAAGTACCCAAGTCCGGTTTAGCAATGGGTTTACTGCAGTTACTTACAGGAGTGAGTGAAGTTCACCTCAGTATGGAGAAGGACCCCCTAAAGCTGTCTATGGTGAGTTTTCCGTACCAGGGAAATTCTGAGCTATTCATGCTGTTTAGCATTTGTTAGTGTCTATGTCCCTGTCACTGTGGATGTGTACATAAGGTACTATGAGTCTTGTGTTAGGAGATTCCTGAGCCTTCTAAGTTTATTTTTTGAGTGTTGTCCCTTCATGAGAAAAATGTGAACTTACACAAAGAGATATATTTTAAGGTGAAAAGAAAAACCATAAAGGAACTAATAATTTCAGACATCAAAACTAGGGAATTTGAATCCTACAAATTAGATTGACAGAGAAATCAAGAATATATGCAACACAAAAGAACTTCCAAGACGGCTAGAGGAAATACCTCACATTGTTCTTGCAGAGGACCTGAGTTCAATTCCTAGCACCCACAACAGGCAGATCGCAACTGCCTGGAGCTCCACTTTTAGGGAGCGGACACCTCTTTGACCACCTTAAACACACGCGCGTGCGCGCACACACACACACACACACACACACACACGCACTCACAAATAACATAACATGACACCTCTCTGAGCACATACACACACATAAAAAACATACACATACAGATGGCACCTCTTGGAGCACATACATAAACACACATATACATGACACCTTTCTGGACTCCTTGAGTACATACACAGACACATATTCATACACGTAAATAACAAACACACATGACACATGTATGGCCTCCTCTGGCACATACACATATAAATAATAAAATTAATACATGCTTTACAAAGGAATAAGCAATATGAATACACATGTGTGCATAATATGTATATGGAGATGAAAAACTACTGGGTTAGAAATGGTTTCACTTCCCTGATAATGATGACACAGTAAAAACAGTCAAGTAAATGACTCCTCACATTGAGATCATCAACAAAAACTAGGCACTTAGGTAAGAAGCATAACAACAACCAAAAAAGTTATGGATGAAAGCCATCTAGGCTGGGCTTGGTGGTGTACACTTTTAACCCCTGGGGTAGGAAGGCAGAGGCAGGCAGATCTCTTGTGAATTTGAGGCCAGCCTGGTCTACATGGTGAATTCCAAGCCAGCCAGAGCTAGACAATGACCGACTTTGACATGCCACTCTTTCCCAGAATGAGAATTGTAAGTCCCTACATATGCCACATATGGTGGCACACACTAGGTCTACATATGCCACATGTGGTGGCACACACTAGGTCTACATATGCCACATATAGTAGCACACACTGGGTCTACATATGCCACATATGGTAGCACACACTAGCTCCAGAAAGCAGGTGATTGAGGGGAGTCTCTAGTTTAAGTTTAGCTTGCATATTGAAAATAAAACAAATTATTTGATTTCCACAAAGGGAATGGTTCGTTGTTCTTTCTTTTACTTTTATTTTGGTCTTTTGAGACAGGGTTTCTCTGTGTAACAGCCCTGGCTGTCCTGGAACTCGCTCTGTAGATCAGGCTGGTCTTGAACTCAGAGATCCGCCTGCCTCTGCCTCCTGAGTGCTGAGATTAAATGTGTGCACCTTACCTGAGGGTGTTCTTAACATCATCCCTATGACAAATTGACGTATGCTGGACTTCAAAACATTTTGAAATGGGACTTTGCTTAAAGGAGTTGAAAATGCATCACATAAAACATGCCCTAAGAGCACTCTGCCTAAAGGGGAGCAGCCAAGATGAAGATTTCAGGGTACAGGTGGCAGCAGGGTTGACAAGAATCCTCTGAGCAGGGCGTTGGCGGTGCACACTTTTAATCCCAGCACTGGGGAGGCAGAGGCAGGCGGATCTCTGTGAGTTCGAGGCCAGCCTGGTCTACTTGAGTTCCAGGACAGCCTCCAAAGCTACAGGGAAAACCTGTCTCGAAAAACCAAAACAAAACAAAAATCTGATTTTTAAAAAAAGATTTCTCCATGTGCGCATGTGTGGGCATGCTTTCGCCACGGTGCATGGAGGTGAAAGGAACACCTATGATTTTGATTCTCTTACCGTGTGGCTTCCAAAGATTAATCCCAGGTCTTAAGGCTTGGCAGCAAGACCCCCATCCACTGAGGGATCCTGCTGAATCTAAGTGTTCTGTTTTGTTGCTTTTGAGACAGGTCCTCACTATGTAGTCTTGACTTGCCTGGAACTCACTATGTGTAGTGATATATTATTTATGATTTATTAAAGCTTGTCTGAATATTCAGAAAAGCAAAGTCAGCCTCAAGCTACAGAGATCAGGCAGTGGTGACACACACCTTTAATTCCAGCAGTCAGAAGCTAGGAGGTGGTGGTTCACAAACCTTTAATCCTAGGACTCAGGATTAAGAGGTGGACAGATCTCTGTGAGTCCAAGGCCACCCAGATCTACACAAGATTGAATCAGTCTAAAAGAGAGTTCTAGCTCACACCTTTAGTCCCAGCACTAGAGGGGTATAAAAGACAGGAGGGAGCAGTCAGTAGGAGGCATTGGATCTCCAGCCACGCTGAGGAGATGCAGCAGTTTGAGACTTGGTTAAGAGCCTGTGTGTGGGAGGATCAGCCCATTCAGCCTGAGGTGGAGGTGAGAGCTAGTGGCTTTGCTTCCCTGATCTTCAGCTTGAACCCCAGTGTCGGTCTCTGGGTCTTTTATTTACTCGTGTTACAACTACGTACACAAGGCTGACCTGGAACTCGGAGATCTACCTGCTTCAGTCTCGGGAATGCTGGGATGCAAGGCCAGCAAGAACCTTAGTTTAAGTGCTTCGGAAATTCATGGAATTGCAAGGAAGTTAGAATACAGGTACAGCCCTGGGAAAGAGCAAAGCAGAGACTCACGTTCACAGTTCAACACTAAGTTCAAAGCAATTATCATTAAGGTAGGATGAGGGTGCAGATGGGCCTAAGCACTTAGCCAGCATGCTATGCACAAGCCGTTGCATTCAATCCTGAGATCGGGAGGAAGGGGATATATATATATATATATATATATATATATATATATATATATATATATATATATATATATATATATGAGAAAAATAAACTGTACTAGGCTCGGTGATACAGCTGGTCCGCGAACCATGGACGGAGAGCAATCATTTCAAAGAGTTGTCCAGTGACCTCACGCCTGTGTCACCGCGCACGCCCACAGGGCACACACACCAATAACGAAGGCAGATTTCAGCAGGTGAGAGCGCCGCGGGGAGCGGTGTCGCTCACGGACTCGGGGAGGCGCCTCCCGGAGCCAGCGGCCGCGCCCACTCGCTCCCCAGCCCTCCCGGTCCCTGGCCGGCGCGGGCGACCCTGCTTCTTCAACTCTAACCTCAGCGCGCAGCCCGGCTTTCCAGGATGCGGGTCCCACCCCACGCCCGCCGGGGAGGGCCCGGCGCGCCGGCTCCCGCGGCTCAGCCGACCGCTCCTCGCCGTCTGGGGACCCCGGCCCCGCGCTCACCATGGCGCGGCTGCCGAGCTCCCCGCGCAGCTCCGGGCAGCGCAGCTCAGGGCAGCGCAGCTCACAGGAAAAGCCGCGGACGCCCGGCGCCTCCCCCGGCCGCTGGACCGAACGCACAGCGGTACTGCCGGAAGAGCCCGCCTTCCCCCGCCCCCTGCGCTCCTGATTGGACGGCCCGTCTGCAGGTCCTGATTGGCTAGCGCCGTCAAGCGAGTGACGGGCTGAGTGACAGAAGCGGATCCCGCAACAGAATTGAGGCAAACAGCACAGCCTTTCCAGCACCGCTTCGTGTCCTGGGAGACCTAGTCCGGTCCGGGAGAGAGTCGCATAAAAGCCAAACCTGCCGGGGTCGCGCGGGGTACTTGAGTGCTTGCTGACCTCAGAGCGCAGGTCGCATTCGCCCTGGGTGCTTGTGTCTACACTCCATTTACCAACTCAGTGTCCAGTGCTGCGCTGTCTCCCCTCACGGACGGGTTTATTTGCACTGGAGTTTCAGGGATCTAGTCCACTATCAAAGGGATGAAAAGCGGCTGGAGTGGGAGGCAGCTGGTCACATCTCACAATAGGGAGCCGCAAGAGGACAAGATTAGGACTTGGCTAAGGCATTCCGAGGCTTGCCCCAAGTAACGGGAATCTTCCAGCTTAGCTTCACTTCCTGGCCTTTTCTCCTCTGAGGACCAAGCGTCCAAACTCATGAGTCTGACCCCATAGGATCATGGTCATCTCATAATTCCAAGAGTGTTTATTTGTAGCTCCTGCCTACGAGCAGAATGTGTGCGTGTGTGCATGTGTCTTTATTGCAAGTCTGTCTCTCTTGTAGAGAGGGAGCAGCCTTATATATAGGCTTACAGGACAGTGGAAAAACCCCAGATGGAAGAGATGGTGTTTTCCTCATGCTAGATGTCAGTGGGGCAGTAAGCCAGGACGAGAAAACAGTCTGACCAGTGACTCACAGAGACCCCCATGGAGCTGGGGCCCAACATTTATTCCAACATCAAAGGTCCCCATAGTCTAACAATCACAACACCATCCAAAAATCCAAAGTTTCTTCTGAGACTCAAAGTTTCTCTTTTTATTTTTAATATGTATTTCTTTTACTTTATGTGTATGAATGTTTTGCCTGCATTCATGTATGTGCACCACCTTCATGCCTGTTGGATTCACTGGAAGTGGAGGTATGGGTGGTTGTGAACCTTCATGTGGGTGCTGTGAATCAAACCCAGGTCCTCTGCAAGAGCGAGCTCTTCAGTCCCTGTAATACCAAAGCACATGCCATGCTTCAGTGCCACATGATACACAATCCCATACTAAAAAGAAGAGACAAGAGCATGGAAAGGAAGGATGGGACGAACCAAGAACGCAACCCAGCTGATGTGGAAGGTCAATGCAATATGGAATATAACATATTTATTTACCAGAATAAGAACTTACACACAAAAGGCTGGGGAGTCAGAAGCGTGGCAGCTTCCAGAGGAAGAGAGAAGCGGGATTCGTTTCTCTTTCACTTCCTTTTACCCTCACTGACCTAAATATCCTTTCCCCACCCTTAGGATGGATAGCCGTGTGGGCCCCCACACCCAGTAGTGAAAATGCCCAGTTCACTAGCCCCAGTCCCGTGTCTGGGGTAGCACCGCATCTCTTGGGCTGCTGCTCACAATTCACATAGCTTCTCTTTGGGGCTGGATTCACCCCCAGGTCTCTCCTTTGCAGGTATCTCACAGGCCTTGCATCACCCCAGGTCTCTCCTTTGCAGGTATCTCACAGGCCTTGCATCTCCAACATCCTGAGGTCTTCCCTGAGAGTTAGGTTTCCCTTCACAACTTCACTCAGAGTCCTCTTAGTACCTCGATTTAGGGAATCCAAATGCCTGACCTAAGAAGCTCTCTGGAACCTTGCTAAAAGACTCTAAGCTCAATTACTCTTGTCTTTTGCATGCCCACAAACCCAGGACTATGGGGACAATGTTGTCAAGTTCTGATGCCAGCTTCAGGCATAATGCGGCCATCTTGGTCAGTTTCTCTTAAGGCTGTCCTTTTGTGAGAAAGTACATTTTTAAAAGTTGTTATTGGGTGGGGTCTGGTGTTCAGGGTCCCTTTCTATTGACCTTATGCAGGAAGGTAGGTTTCTTTGTGACGGCGCTAACCTCCTTGACAATTGCAGCTGCTGTCTCGGCAGCTGCTGGGCTTGCAAGTGCAGACTCACCTGTTCTCCAAATGGTACAGGGTGCCATGTCTTTCTGCTCCCTTAGGTGCTTCCTTACTATGAAAACGGAGAAGAAGAAAATTGACAAGAGTGGGCTGGAAAGATGGCCCTGTGGTTAAGAGCAATGGCTGCTCTTCCAGAGGACCTGCGTTCAAGTCCCCACAACCACATGTGGCTCACAACCATCTGTAATAGGGTCTGATGTCCTCTTCCTGTATGTAGGCATATATGCGGATAGAGTACTCATATGAAATGCACAAATGAATAAATCTATTTTTAAAAAAGAAAAAAGTGACATGAGCCAAGGCAGTGACACAAAACACCATCCTGCCTGCACATTTCTTCCACCAAAGATGAGTGCAACATTTTTAACATTCAGTCCCACTCAAATTCTCCCAGCACAGGCAGAGTATGGCAAGAAAATGTTTACAGGATCAAAAGTTGCCTTGTATAAACTTCCACAGCTCATGCGATGTGACGGCAACCTTTACACTTTAAAAACCATACCCTAAGCTGGGCATTAATGATTCTTTATTCCTTTTCCTATGACTTTATGCTCTGATAGCTTAGAAATCTTGGCTACAAAAGGCAGATGTTGTCTACAAGGAGACAATGGCAACATTTCATTGATCTAGAAGCTAGTATTTCTCACTTCTGCCCTTGGGCTCCTGATGCTCTGGAGTTACAGTGTTACCAGGATTGACTGGCATCCAGGTTTTCAATGTATGCTGTTTCATTCTTCTAACTCCCCCTCTGGGCCCTCCAGGCTCCCTATCGTGTCCCTCTCCCCTTGGTCCCCCTCCACACCCCCCAGGCTCCCTATCATGTCCCTCTCCCCTTGGTCCCCTCCCACACCCTCCAGGTTCCATATCGTGTCCCTCTCCCCTTTATGTTCTGTCATTTTTATTTTCTCCTGAGTCCAGTTAATGCTGTTTGTTGAAATACTCACTCATCTTGTTGGCTTGACCATGTGCATGTGACCGTAGCTGCAGTGAGTTTATGAATGTAATCTCCATGGCTTTTACAGCCATCATCCTCATCCTTCCCCTCTTCCATGAGCCTTGCAGGCAGGAGGTTGATCTAGAGTTCCTGTTTGGGGTTAAGCAACCCGTAGTCACATATTCTCAGCACCATGAACAGTTACAAGTCTCTGCACTGACCACTGCCAGGGGAAGCTTCTCCAGCAAAGGCTGAGAGAAGCGCCGATTCCTGTGTGTGCTCGTAAACATGTAGAAGGCAGTGTGACAGTGTGTCCATGTAACAAGACAACAGTAGTATGTTTCTGCTGAGCTCCTGCAGGCTGTGCAGTGTGCTCCAGGCTCCCAGCTTTGTGAGCTGTCCCCATGCTGGGGGGGAGGGGGCTTTGGTGACACAGCTGTCTGAGAAATGTCTGCTGCTGTAAGTGACCCCAATAAAACTCATTGGTTCACCAAGCTAGACTCTAGTGGTGCCTACACTTTGGTGTGCCATGGGCTCCCTATCTAGGGCGAGTTGTGTCTTCCCAGGAAAAGTATAGGTGACTCGGTCTTTCTCTTTAGCAGTTTTCACCATTGTTTCTTTGTTCTGAGTGCTTGTGTGTTATTTCCATATGATGAAGGGAGGCTCTTTCTGGTTTGTCTGTGTAGTGTAGTGTTGTAACTACTACTATTTACATTGGCATCTCTTCCTCCGACTCTGGGGGATTTCCCGTTAAAATTCTTGTGAAAAGATTTTGTCTTTAGAATGAAATTATTCCCTTTCTTCTATAGAAGAAATCCTAGTTAAGACATCTGTGAAAGTGGATTTTTGGAAGATTCTTGAAGTCCCTTCCCAGATTTATAGAAGATGGAAACCAATCCCAGGAGAGAAGACACTGACCCGCCAAACTGCCAAGAGGACAGACTCTCAGACCACCAAGCTGAGTGCAACTGTTCGGGGAGCTCCGTGGATGCAGTTTTTGTAAGTCATTTCATGAGTTTTTGTTTATTTTTATTTTTAATTTTAAATTAGAAACAAGGTTGCTTTACATGTCAATCCCAGGTCCATCTCCCTTTTCCTCCTCTCCTCCCATGTCCTCTCACCAACCCCCCAGTATCCCCTCATTTCCCCAGGGAGGGTGAGACCCCCCATGGGGGTATCCATAGTCTGTCATTTCATCCAGGGCAGGGCCTGGACCCGCCCCCAAGAGTCCATGAGTTGCTGTTTTGAGTCATCTTACTCTTCTTACCGACCCTCACCTGCCCTGTTAATGACCCCAGTAAACTTCCACTGGTCCACTAAGTTGGACCTCTTCTGTCTCCTGTGACTCCCGTAGGGTAAGGATTCTCTGAGAATTCTCACTGGTTCGGTTCTCTCCTCGATCCTTCTATTGATGAAAACATCCATAGTTCTTTTTATTTGGCAATGTTTTTTCTTTAATTTCTGAATTTCAGATTGGCTTTCTTCTTTGTCAAGCTCCTTTTTCATATCAGGCACCGCCTTTCTTCTGTTCAGTTGTTTGTGTCTTTGAATATACTGAAAATCACTATTTGGGTTCTCATTCTGTGATTTCATCTGACCCCCTCCTCACTAGACACCATTGCTGTAGGGTTAATGTTTAAACACTTATTTTTATATGCAATATGTGTGAGCCTATGTGAGGATAAGTGTCGCACATTTGTGTCATTCCATGCACCATTCAATGAGGGACACTTTTTTTTTGGTCATAGTCTCACTATAGACCAGGCTGGCCCAAATCCCCCAGGGATCCGCTTGCCTATGCCTCTGGATTTGCTGGGGTTTCATCACCATGCTCAGCTTTTGGTTTGATTTTTGAGGGAGGGGGTCATGCGGCAGAGGCTGACCTCGACCTGAGTGGTGGAGAATGACCTAGATCTTTACCCCTAGTGGGGTTACAGACAAACACCTTCTTAGGAAGCTTATGTGCGTTTGAGGATCGAAGCCAGGACTTCCTGCATTCTATGTAACAGAACCACTTTCTTAGATATTTGATCAGATTTAAAATATTTATTTTTATTTTATGTGTATTGGTGATTTCCCTGCATGTTTGCTTGGTGCCCATGAAGACCAGAAGAAGGCACTGGATTCCTTGGAGCTGGACCTACAGGTGGAGAGCGTCTACGTGGGAGCTGTCAATGAAATTTGGGTCCCCTGGAAGAGCCGCTGGTGGTCTTAACTGCTGAGCCATCTCTCTAGCCCCGCTTAGTTTTTTCTCCAGTTTTACACGTGGAGGAGAAGAGTTCCCTAGCACAGTCCAGAAGTTACAAGTTCTCTAATGACTGCTTAAGAAAAAATTATGGCTAGGTGTGTTGGCTCAGGGCCTACGATCTCAGAACTTAGCAGATTGAAGCGGGTGATTAAAAGTTTGAGGCTTGTGTGGACTATACAGCAAGACTCTCACCAAAAATATTCCGGAGGCGTTATGGCACAGTGCCCTCCTGAGCTAACGGGACCGAACAGTAGCTTGTTTTTTTCAGTGGACTTGTTCCTAGGTATCTCAGAGTCACACAATTGACTTGACATTCTCAACTATTTTCACTGGGCAGGGTCATTTGGCAGGGCACGCCTACAAGTACACAAGAGCCATGAGCCTGTGCTGCCACCTGCTGGCCACCACCACGCTAGGCAATGTTTTCAGAGCCCACAGCCTCAGGCGCGCCTGGAGCAGCAGCTCCTGTCACTCAGCCCACGCAGGACAGCTCTAGCCAATCAGAGCCTCCAGGCTGGTTGTCCAATCAGAACCTTCTGGGAGGCTTCTTTCCGGCCGCCATTCTAGCGGAGGGCCCTTCACCGCGGTGGAGGGCGGCTGCCGTGGGTGTCGCTACCCCGAGCTGCGAGGAAAGCGCGGGGAGCTCGGCAGCCGCGCCGTGGTGAGCGGCGGGAGCCCGTGCGGTGGGTCCCCCGGGCCGGGGGAGCGAGCGCGGGCACGAGGCGTGTGCCGGGCCCGGCCGTCGGGCGCTTCCGCCGGGGGTGTCCGCTTCGCGAGCCCGGGCGGGCAGCCTGCGCGGGTGGCGTCGCGGCCGAGCGCGTCCTGCCCTTCGGTGCCGCGCCGGAAGGCAGTTTGCTGGACTAAGGTTCTTTGTGCTGTCTTCTAGAAGCTCTTAGCTTTGCACTCTACATGTGGATGTAGAACTCATTTTGGGTTAATTTTGCGGCATTTGTGAAGTCTGTGTCCCGTGGTTTCTTTGCAGAGGTGTTCAGAAACAGCTCTGGAAAAGCTTTCCCAGTGAGTTTGTTGTTTGTTCTTCTGTTATACTCCGACTGTATTTTTGTCTTTATTTTTGTTTGTGTTTGTTGATATTTTCCCCAAATATTGCAGTGTCTCGAGTCCTGAAGCTTGATGGGAAGTGCGATAGTCAGCAAGCATTGCAGTTCCTCTGAATTGTGCTCCGTTTCTTTTCTTCATTTGCGCACAACTTTTATAATTCGTTTCCTGTCGTGACAAATCTTTTTCTAGGACTTTTATTGGAAGCACGTTGAGCTTCTAGTTTAAACTGAAAACTGACATACTTTTGAGACATAAGTATGAAGTGTGCTGTGCTAGAAATATAGATGTACACATTTGTATCTTCCCATAGTGTCAGAATGTTTTTGAATAACAATAAATTCAAAAGGAACAATGGTTTTGGAGGTAGCCATTTGTCATATAATTCCACCCACCTTGGTAATTGGGACAAGGCTAATGTAGGTTTATTCTAGTTTTAATTACTAATATTCTTGTATCACACAAAACAGTATAGCTATGCATACATGTAGTTTATAAAATGAATACAAGGAAAAGAAAAGGCACAGAAGTGGGCTGAGGGGAATACAGCTGGAGCCTCTGTAGATACGATCAGGAGCTCAAAGCTGATGTGCTACAGCGACGGAGCCTTCGATGAAGCCAGGGAGGACTCAGTTTTGTCAGCCATGCTACAGGGTTCTAGTTGCTCAGAACCAGGCTCTGAGAACAGGCAATTGTGGGTTCAGGTCCAGATCCAGATAGGGAGCAGGCAGAGGGACAGGCAGTGGAGTAGGCTGTGCCAACGGGTTGGACCTAATTGACTTGAAACCATAGGGACCGGAGTTCCCTGTCTGTCCTTCACATACGTGCCGGGTATGAGATTGCAGTGATATATTATTTATGATTTATTAAAGCTTGTCTGAATATTCAGAAAAGCAAAGTCAGCCTCAAGCTACAGAGATCAGGCAGTGGTGACACACACCTTTAATTCCAGCAGTCAGAAGCTAGGAGGTGGTGGTTCACACACCTTTAATCCTAGGACTCAGGATTAAGAGGTGGACAGATCTCTGTGAGTCCAAGACCACCCAGATCTACACAAGATTGAATCAGTCTAAAAGAGAGTTCTAGTTCACACCTTTAGTCCCAGCACTAGAGGGGTATAAAAGACAGGAGGATCTCCAGCCACGCTGAGGAGAGGCAGCAGTTTGAGACTTGGTTAAGAGCCTGTGTGTGGGAGGATCAGCCCATTCAGCCTGAGGTGGAGGTGAGAGCTAGTGGCTTTGCTTCCCTGATCTTCAGCTTGAACCCCAGTGTCGGTGTCTTTTATTGGTCATGTTACAACACACCCTGCGTATGAATATCCAGGACCCTGCAGTAGCACTCCCTTTATTAAACTGACTATTTTCATTAGAGGTCGGGAGTTCCACTCCCAGTGACCACAGGGTATCTTACATGTGTCTGTAACTCCAGTCTGAGTGGGCCTGAATCCCTTTTCTGGCTCTCATGGGCACCAGACACAAATGTGGAGCAGACAAAACACCTATGTAAATACATATAATCTAAAACGTTGTAGTTAATGTCTACAGACTCCTTTTTCCCCCCTTTTCTTTCTTTGAGACAAGTTCTCATTGTGTGACTTGTCTGATCTGGAACCCTGGAACTTTGTAAACCAGCCTGTCCTCGAACTCAAAGCCGTCTGCCTCTGCCTTCCAAGTGTGTCGTGTAGAGTACCATAGCCAGCGTGTCTGTAGTTCTTTGTTACATTTCTGTGTATTTCTTTCTGCTGTATTTGTCTTTACTGGTACACAAGCAGTATAGTGCTTTTATTTTCACAATGTATTGCTCATTGCCAAGGTACAGGGAATATGCATTATGCATCCTACATGTTTGCTGTAGTGTCTCATTAGTTTCTTGAATTTTTATTGTTTTTTGAGATTTTCTTTTTTCTTTTTTTCTGAAAAAGCTCCTTTCCCCTTTTGTTGACATACACCCTGTCCAAATATTTGTATGATCATATGATTTAAGATTAATTTTCATATTTTTATATATTTGCCTGCATTTATGTCTGTGTACCATATACGGGCTTGGTGCCTGTGGAGGACAGAGGAGTGTTGTGGGATAATCTTTTTGTTCACTGTGAAGATGTGTCTCTGTCTGAGGTGCCTTCTGGTTGGTTTAATAAAGAGCTGAATGGCCAATAGCTAGGCAGGAGAGACTAGGTGGAACTTCTGGGGAGAGAGAGGGACTTGGGGAGAATCTGAGGCGCTTGGGATTAAGCCAGTGAGATGCAGAGGGAGTCAGATGTACAGTATGGATAACAAGCCATGTGGCAGACTGTAGATGAATAGAAATGGGTTAATTTAAGTTATACAAGCTAGTCAGGAACAAGCCTAAGCTAAGACCAACCTTTTCTAATGAATAAGAAGTCTCCGTGTCATTGTTTGGGAATGGGTGGTACCAAGAAAGGCTGACTACAGAGAAGGGTGTTTTATCCTCTAACTGGTTGAGAGCCACCTTGGTGCTGGGATTTGAACCCGGGTCCTCTGGAAGACCTGAGCCGTCTCTCCAGCCCGATCATGTTTTTGTTATTTCGGGGTGGGTGTGGGAGTTGAACTCTGTTCCTTGTGTGCTCTGTCATTCAGATCCATTCACAACCTGGATTTTGAAGTTTTAATTGACTTTGCACACCTGTCTTAATTTCTACTTGATTGTGGTAAGTTTTTGATTTGGTTTAGTTAATTTCTTTATTATGCTGAGGTAGGCCCTTGGGTCTCTTCCTGCTGCCTCCAAAGTACTGGAATAGTATGAACCATGATGCTTTTTTTCCTTAAGGTTTTTATAACTTTCAATAAATTTTCCTTTTAACAATTTCACGAATGTCTACAATGCACGCTGTGGCTCCTGTCCTCACACCTCCTAGTGCCGCTTACCCCTCACTCGTGTCTCCATTCTCTCTCTCTCTCTCTCTCTCTCTCTCTCTCTCTCTCTCTCTCTCTCTCTCTCTCTCTTTTCTTTTTTGTTTGTTTTTTGAGACAGGGTTTCTCTGTGGCTTTGGAGGCTGTCCTGGAACTCACTCTGTAGACCAGAGATCCACCTGCCTCTGCCTCCCGAGTGCTGGTCATGTCTCCATTCTTAAATTTTGTCTTGGAACCCACTGTTAAATCAGGGTCATCATTGAGTTCGGAACTATTCATGGGAGCTTAGTGGGCACCTGAGTGGGTGGTACACAGCTAAAGACAATGTCTTCTTCCTCCAGAATCTGTCGTGGTCAGTAACTAAAGGAAGAGTAGAGGACTGTATGCCCCTCCCTGACCTACAATTGACTAGTGACAGGTGATATTTTGCATAGTCCCATTGGAGGTGACCACAACCACTATGGAGTCTGACAGCGCTGGCTCTGCTGTGTCCAGAAGTTAGTGTTTTACAGCCTCCTCCTCCCTTCGGCTCTCCCCTTGTCACTCCCTTTCTACTGTGACTGTGAAGAGGCAGTGGGGTAAATGTCCTGTTTAGGGCTGGAGAAATGACTATGACACTGACTGCTCATTCAGTTCCTAGCACCTGCATAGTGGCTCACTATGTAACTTCAGTTCCTCTTCTGGCCTCCTTGGATACTGTATAAACTTGTTGCATAGAAATACATGAAGGAGCTGGGTGGTGGCGGCACACACCTTTAATTCCAGCACTTAGGAGGCAGAGACAGGTGGATCTCTGAGTTTGAGGCCAACTTGGTCTGCAGAGTGACTTCCAGGACAGCCAGGGCTACACAGAGAAAATATGTCTCAAAAACCAACCCCCCCCCCAAAAAACCCCAAAACCAAACAAAAACAAAAACAAAAAAGCCCAAACCAAAACACCACGAAGGCATAACATTCACACACATAAAATAAAAATAAAGTTTCATAAGAAAAATTTAAATTACTTAAAAATGTATGCTTTATGGTTGAGTACTTAACCGTCACTTACTTATTCTCAGCACTTTGAACAGCCATGCATCCTGTATTCACTGATATCATTGCGAAGGGAGGAATAGCATTTCATTTGCTTATGGGTATGAACATAAATATTTAGAAAGTAACCTGGCCCCAGGGCAGTTTAGCTAAACTTAATAAATTTACTCCTAGAGGCTAAGACCTTAGCTGTGGGATTTTGGCCAGATTTACATTGCCAAGTATGCATTCCATCTTGTGAAGCAAGTCTCAAATCCATTAAGAGTTATTCATTAGGAGTTTCTTTAAATCTACATACGATCCATTGTCTTAGTCATTGCTCTATTGCTGTGACCATGACAACTCTTATAAAGAAAAACATTTAATTGTGAGTTGCAGAGAGGTTTAGTCCATTGTCACCATGTCAGGGAGCCTGGTGTCATGCAGGGAGACATGGTACTGGAGAAGTAGCTGAGAGTTCTACACCTGCATCTGGAAGAGAGAGACACTGGGCCTGCTTTGGGCTTTTGAAACCTTAAAGCCCATCCCAAAGACACACAACAAAGCCACACCTGATCCTTCTCAAGCAGTGCTACTCCCCGATGACAAAGCATTCAAATACATGAGCCCATTAGGGCCATTCTTATTCAAGCTACCACACCCATATAACATTCCTGGGCATATACTCACAGGACTCTATAACTTACTACAGATAACTTGCTCAGCCACATTTATCATTGCTCTATTCAAAATACCTAGGAAACGAGAGTTGCCTAGATGTTTCTAAATGATGGATGGGTAGTGAAAATGTGAGGTATACATGTGATAGGTGTGTGTGTGCATGCACACACCTAATTTATATCACATGTGATAGGTGTGTGTGTGTGTGCATGCACACACCTAATTTATGTTGTGGTGGGATGATGGCCTCAGTTTAAATTCAGAAGTGTTTGCTTTTCTGGTACACATAGCTCAAAATTGGTGTGAATTTGTTTTTGCTTTTTTTTTTTTTTGGTTTTTATGAGACAGGGTTTCTCTGTATTGTTTTGGAGGCTGTCGGTCCAGCCTGGCCTCGAACTCACAGAGATCCGCCTGCCTCTGCCTCCCGAGTGCTGGGATTAAAGGCATGCGCCACCACTGCCCGGCTGTTTTTGCATTTTTAAGACAGGCCTCAAACTCTGTAGATCAGGCTACAGAACTCAGATTCTTCTCCAGTGCACCACTCTGCTCAGTTTGGTGTGAAGTCCTAACTGTTTGGACCTTCCTTATTATTTTTTCTCATTTCATTTTATCAAATTTTTCTCCTTGCCATTTTACTTCTTGATTTTTATAGCTGTATTACTTGATTTAAAACCCCGAGCTGAGGGGCTGGAGAGATGGCTCAGAGGTTAAGAGCACTGACTGCTCTTCCAGAGGTCATGAGTTCAATTCCCAGCAACCACATGGTGGCTCACAACCATCTGTAATGAGATCTGGTGCCCTCTGCTGGTGTGTAGATGTACATGGGGCAGGGTGTTGTGTTCATAATAAATAAATAAATCTTTAAAAAAAAAAAAACCCCCGAGCTGAATGTCCCCAGTGGGAACGTGGACAGCATAAAGATAAAGGTGGAGCACAGTCGCTGGTCCTCAGAGGACTCCTAGAAAGGTGACGTTCCCGATGACCCTGTAATAAAGTATTGCTGGAAAGCTGAGAACAGTAAAAACAGAGCTAACCACTGGGCATGGTGGCACACACCCATAATCCCAGCATTTGGGAGGCAGAGGCAGGTTGACCTCTGAGTTCGAGGCTAGAGAGTCTACAGAGTGAGTTCCAGAATAGCCAGGACTACATGGAGAAACTCTGTCTTGAAAAATCATAACCAAAACAAGGTCCCCCAAGTCCCCCCAAAACAAAAACAACCATAAACCTAGAGCTAGCCACCTCTAAACCTCAGATTGGAAACTTTTACCACATGTGGCTTCAGTGAGTTTGGGCCTCAGCCATAGGAGCCCCACTCATATAGGACCTCCCTCCGAACCCGAGGGCTTTAACAGCTCACAGCAGGCTGTGTGCTAGCATTTGACTAGCTGATAGGCAAGAAACTGCAGGTTGCTGCTGATGGAGCTAGAGACACGTTTAGTCACAGGTGAGACTGGTCTGAGGAGCCTGAGGCGTGGGTGGAGAGACAGAAGCGGAGGTTGTGAGGGTGGAGTGTGAGGGAACATACTCAGTCGGAGCACAGGTCCTCAATGGCTGATCTTCAGTTGACTTGATTGGCTCTGGAATCAGCTAAGAGGCCCGTCTGTCTCTGTGCAGGTCTGCCTGGGAAGCTCAGGCAGGTTGACAGGCGAGAAGAGCCTGCTGTATAGCGGGTGGCTCTTTGAAAGTAGCCTTGGCACTGAGGAGTCCACAGAAGAAGCAGTGCTGCGTTCCTGCCCGCCTTCACTTCTTGTGGTGAGTGCGACTGTCCCGCCGCCGCCGCCACAGCCATCACCGCCACAGCCACCCTCCACTGAGGACTGGAGACCAGAAGCTGTCCAGGCGTGCCCCAGGCCTTTGGCACCAGGTTGGAGCCTCTGCATCATGGAGACGGCCATTGTTGGACTGTCCAGGCCGGATCAGGTAAGCTGTAAATTAGATAAGGTGATTAATAAATCCCTTTTGTTATATATTCTTTTAGTTCTGTCCTCAAGAGAACCCTGATAGTTTCATATAGCTACCTATCTATGTCCTGTTTTTCTTATACATACCTTAAACATTATTTAAGTCATCATTCTCTATTTAATTTATATACTCTCTCTCTCTCTCTCTCTTTTGTTTTTTGAGACAGGTTTTTCTCTTTATAAAAATTCTGGCTGTCCTGGATCTGGCTGTCCAGACTGGCCTAAAACACACAGAGATCACCTGCTTCTGCCTTCTTGAGTGCTGGGATTAAAGGCATGAACCATCACTGCCCAGCTTAATTTGTGTGTATTTTTAATTTTTAAAACTTAATTTTTTTTATTTCACGTGCATTGGTGTTTTGCCTGTGTTTATATCTGTGTGAGGGTGTCAGATCCCCTGGAACTAGAGTTACAAAGAGCTGTTATGAGAGCTGCCATGTGGTTGCTGGGAATTGAACCCTGGTCCTCTGGAAGAGCAGCCAGAGCTCTTAAATGTTGAGCCATCTCTCCAACCCTGATCATTCTCTATTTAGAGTGACATGTTATTGCTGCAAAAGATGCTTTTTCTGTTTTCTTCATCATTGAAAGCAAAAAATAATCACTCAAATCAGCATGCTTCATACCAGCAAGTCATGGAATGGGAGTTTTGTGGAGTTCTGTCAGAGTTGCACAGGGGAAATTCAGATTCCTTCTTGGGGTTCTTAGTCTTGTTACTGAAAGGAATTTAAGAGGCAGGAGGCTGGAGGCTTATCAGTTAAAAGCAGTTTCTGTTCCTAGCACTTACATGGTGGTGCACAACTGTTGTAACTCTAGTTCCAAGGGATCCAGTGCCCTCCTCTGGCCTCTATGGGTACTGCATACATGTGGTGCATATACATATAGTTGCACACATACACACACAAAATAAATTTTTTAAAAAAGAATTTAAGAACTGTCTCACGGAAGCTTAAGGACAGTTTTATGAGTTGAAAGCAAACCATCAGTACTGGCAAGCTATAAGTTCTGAAAGCCACCAGGAAGGGGAGATGGATGAGGGACAAGGGAGCAGTGCCACGTGAGGTGAATTGGTGCACTGGTCAGTTGCGTGGCAGATATGCCCAAAGTACCAGAGGAAGCACATTTAGACTCCAGCCAGCATCCTAAAGAGAAGGGCAAAAGAGAAGAAAAAGGAAAGTTACCCAGGAAACCTCAAGGCAACTGTTAGCAGCTACACAGGGAGTCCTTGTCCTGTTTGCAACTGTTAATATTGATTTAACTTCTTTTCCACATGTGCATGAACATAGTTACACTGTTTAATCTCTTTTCTTGATAGTGTTTTCAAATAATTTGTCCGTTGCATCTAAGATACTTCATCTGTAGTCCAGTAATTTTCTCCGTTTGTTCCTTTATGACTGTTTTGGGCTAGTTTGCTTATTTCAAGGAATTTGTTAATGTTCATGTAAGTTTCTAAATTTGTGGCTATGGGGTTGCTTACAGTATTCTTTAATGATTTTCATTATTTGAATGTGATATTGTCCCTCCCTCTAGCTGATGGAACTGTTTAGATTGTGTGGTTACTGATAGTTCTCAGAGACGACTTACATTAAATAATTTTTTCCCATTCCATTTGTCACATTTGTATTTCTCAGCATTTTTTTTTTTGGTTGTTAAAAGCAAGCATTGCTGGGCCTGATGGTACATGAATGTAATCCCAGCACTCAGGAGGCTGAGGCAGGTTGATTTTTATGAGTTTAAGGTCAGCCTGGTCTACAGAGCAAGCTCCAGGCCAGCAAGAAAGGCTACATACTGAGACCCTGTCTCAAAAAAAAAAAACAAAAAACCAACAACCAAAACCAAAAATGTGTAAACATTTGTGTGTGTGTGTTATTTTTTTTTTTAACTCAGTTGGCTCTTTGTGGGGGCACCACCCAGCTCCCAAATCACACACAGGGGCTTATTCTTTCTAATGAACGCCCATGGCTTTTCTTTTTTTCTTAACCTTGTTTTCATAAGTTTCTTTGAATATCAGGAATCTGGAGGAAGAAACTATGAATTTCCAGGACAGCCAGCCTCCTGAGTCCTGATGCTAATCAGATGACAGGGTGTGCCTGGGACAAGAAGTGGGGATGGCTGGAGAAAGGGACTGGGGTGGGGAAGGGGCGCACCTCCTCCCAGTGCTGTAACGAACGAGGAGAGTGGTCCCTCTGCCGTCTCTGTGCTTCCGCTAGAACTGCTGGAAACCATACAGTTCTGCTGTCACACTGTCAGACTGCACAGGTGTGTTGTTCCCACACCCTCTTCCATATACAATATGGGATGTTTCAGGATCTGGTGAGCTTTGAGGATCTGGCTGTGAACTTCACCCAGGAAGAGTGGGATCTGCTGGATTCTTCTCAGAGGAGTCTCTATGGAGATGTGATGCTGGAGACCTGCCGGAACCTCACTGCCATAGGTGAGGACATCATCTTAGCGTCGTTCCGTAAGCCAGAGAACAAATGTTCCTGGTTACTGATGGCCGCTGCAGTGTGGATGCGGAAAGGAAAGAATGCGGGGAAGAAATTAGGCACAGTTGTAATTGCGCATTGTGATAATTCTTCACGTTTTCTGTGACTTTCAGGATATGAATGGGACGACCAGGCAGTTGGAGAACATTATGAAGAACCTGAAATAAATCTAAGGTAATCTGCATGCACAAGTGGGAGTAAATGTCCCTCAAAGAAGACTTAATGTGCCGTGAAAATTTTGCTTTTAAGATTTAATTTTTTATATTTATTTATTTTTTTGTTTTTTCTTCTTTTTTTTTAATACGGGTTTTTCTGTGGTGCCCTGGCTGTTCTGAAATTCACGTTTTAGTCCATGCTGGCCTTGACCTCACAGAAATCTATCTGCCTTTATCTCCTTAGTGTTGGGATTAAAGGCATGCACCACCACTGCTTGGCAAGATTTATTTATTTTTCTGTATATGGGTGTTTTGTTTGTGTGTATGTCTATGTACTACATGCATGCTGTGCCCTTGGAAGCCAAAAGAGGGCATCAGATCCTTTGGAATTGGATTTACAGCTTGTTAACCCACCATGTTGGTGCTGGGAATTGAATCAGGGTTCTCTGGAAGAACAGCCTGTTCTCGTAACCACTGAGCCTTTTCTTCAGCTGCTGTGCCATGAAAATTTAACAAGAAAACAAGCCCAACTTTAAATTCGTTTGTCAATAGGAAATTTTCACCCTATATATTATTTTAGTCTTTCACCTAGAACCAGTTCTGGGACCCTGCACTGACGAACGCTCCTATTTTGACCCTAGGCCTGTGGGAAGCATACTGTAGAGCCGTCAGTCCACTTATTTCCAGATTTTTCATATGAAGGCACACATCATGCTGTTTTGGGTAGCAGACTGTCCAAGAAAGATGGTCGAATAAGCAAACAGTAGTAAAACAGCTGTCACTAATGTGCTTGTCATCTCTCACAGTAGTTACATTTAAAGGTCTCTGGTAATGAAGGTGCTCAGGGTGGGGCAACCTTATCCAAATACCAGTCTCATCATGAGCAGCAGTGTGGGTGGAGGAATTTTCACGTGTCGTTCATTTTTAATAGGCACATCGTCTCTCACTCTGAATGCACACAGTATGAAAATGAGGAGTATGAACAGAAGCCACAGGACTCTGATTTTCTTACAAGGGTTGAAGGACACACGGAGACTCCGACTGTGAATGGACCTTCTGAGTGTGAGGTGTGTCTAAAATCCTATGGACTGTATCACCTGACTTACAATGGACATCACAGCTATGACTACAAGGAGTGTGGCGGAAGCCCGACTGTACGGAAGTGTTACGAGTGTGACCAGTGTGGTAAAACTTTGAGTTCTTTCAATTCTCTTCAACGACATCAGAAAATTCATATTGAAGAAAGACCATATAAATGTCAGCAGTGTAGTAAGGCCTTCAGATGTGTCAACGCCCTTGAGTCACATGAAAGAATTCATACCGGAGAAAAACCTTATGAATGTAAACACTGTGGTACAGCTTTTAGCAGACTTACTCACCTGCGATTACATGAAAAAGTTCATACTGGAGAAAAACACTATGAATGTAAACAATGTGATATAGTTTTCAAATCTCAGAGTTCCTATCATAGACATAAGATAATGCATGGAGAAACATTCTATAACTGTAAGCAGTGTGGGAAGTCCTTCATTTACCCCTCTTTACTTCAAATGCATGAAAGAACGCACACAGGAGAAAAGCCCTATGAGTGTAAACTCTGTGGGAAAGCTTTTAGATATCACTCTTCCATACGATTACATGAAAGAACTCACACGGGAGAAAAACCCTATGAATGTAAACACTGTGGTAAAGCCTTTACACGTCAGAGTTATCTCCAATTTCATGAAAGAAGCCACACTGGAGAGAAACCCTATGAATGCAAAGACTGTGGGAAAGCTTTTAGGCATCGCTCTTACCTTCGATTACATGAAAGACGACACACTGGAGAGAAACCGTATCAGTGCATACAGTGTGGCAGATCCTTCAGTCGGCAGAGTTCCTTTAAGAGACATCAGTCTGTTCATGCCGTGGAAAACCCCTATAAATGTCAACAATATCTAATTCCTTTATCCCTGTTTCCTTCAAATGCATGAAGGAACTTACACCAGCACCAAACTTCTGCATGTGAACTGTGTGAGAAAATGCTATTCTAATTCACAAAAGACATGTGTAAGAACTCAAAATAGTGATGAGTCTTTAAACAATGTAGTATAGCCTTCAGGGGTCATTGGGACTATAGAACCCCACCACCTGGAAGCAGTTACCAAAGATGCTATCTCCTGCTCTTCAGCCTCCCGTAAAAATGTGTGGAAATCATGTGTCTCAGGGAGAAGAAGTAAAGCAGGAAGAAGGCCAGAAAAGAATGGCTGTGAGCTACAGTAACAACTCTAGAGCCCAACAATGTGAAAGCCTAGCACTTGGACTTTGGGGACCCTCTTGGGGTTATAGAAACTCTTCCAGCAAACAGGAAATCATTCCCTATAATCACTAGAAGATAGGTCTGCCCTATGAATTAATAAGAACTTATGGATTCAGAATTCTTAAGACACATGCTTGAGCCCACTCCTGTGGGATGATTTCTATACTGTTATTCTCGAGTTCAATAAATCTATATATACTCTCAGTATAACTGCTGTGTGTCTTACTCATTTCTTTAAAATAACCTTTATATCACATCCTGGACACCCACCACCCCTGAGCAGAACAGAAGGGTGTTTGTAGTTAAATTGAGGGCTTTTAAATACGTTTATCACTTATTTTTTTTTCACCAGTTCCTGTCTCTTTATTTATTCATACACAACTACTTGTCCTCTGGTTTGTTGAAGCAGTAAGTCAGACAACACTTGCCACAGTAATGTCTGTCAAAATGACTAGCCATGAAAACTCCAGCACCACATTCATCAGATGGACACTCTCGACGAAGGCGACTGATTTTGCCATTTTCATCCACCTTCTAGTACTTCAGCACAGCCAACTTAACCTTCTTTCTCTTATGCTTATTCTTCTTGGGAGTGGTGTAAGACTTCTTCCTCTTCTTCGCACCACCACGAAGTCTCAACACAAGGTGAAGGGTGGACTCCTTTTGGATGTTGTAGTCAGACAACGTGCGGCCATCTTCCAGCTGCTTACCAGCAAAGATCAGCCTCTGCTGGTCAGGAGGAATTCCTTCCTTATCCTGGATCTTGGCCTTTACATTTTCTATAGTGTCCGAGGGTTCAACCTCGAGTGTGATGGTTTTCCCCGTAAGGGTCTTCACGAAAATCTGCATGTTGGCGGCGGATCCACCATGGATGGCGGCTCGGAAAGGAAGGGCCGCCACGTTTATCACTTATTGTTTGAGAATTTCATACACTTATACAATGTGTTTTGATTAAATCTTATCCCCACTCTGTTCTCTCTGTTTCCCATTCTCTGTCTCTGTTTCTGTCTGTCTGTCTCTGTCTCTCTTTCTCTTCCCATGCCCCTGGCCAGGGACTCCCTGTGTAGAGCAGGTTGGCTTTGAATTTAACAGACCTCCTTGCTTCTGCCTACCTTGAGACTAAAGGTATATGCCACCAGGGTCATCAGTGTGCTCTGTTTGTTTGTTTGTTCGGGTCTACTGTGTTTGTTTATTCCTGGGCCATAGTGCCCAGTCCAAAGTAACAAATACATCCTTCTTCCTGCATCTTGCTACCAGTATTGGCGTTTCTACCCTTCTCAGAAGGTATTAATTCCATGTGGACTAAGGAAGATGCAAAGACGTTTCCTAAAGACAGTGCTAGGTAAGAAAATGCTGATAGAGACTCAAGCCTCACCAAGACCCCAGAAGTTGGTACACATTGTGACCCATGTGGTCTTGAAGACTTGGGTTTTCTGATTCATACAAAAGTTTTGCACGTGTATGGATATGAATATTGGTGTGTTATAATTGTGGGAGAAACAAAACTAGACCAGACTGAAATAGGGTGGAAATCCTTGGCTTAGCTGGGTGGTGGTGGTTCATGCCTTTAATCCCAGCACTAAGAAGGCATAGGCAGGAGTATCTCTCTGAATTCCAGGCCAGCCTGATCTACAGAGTAAGTTCCAAGACAGGCTCCAAAGCTACACAGAAAACCCTGTCTGGAAAACCCACCACCAACAAAAGCTGCAGATTATATATTCAAAAGGTACAAGTGAGTGTGCTGGAGAGATGGCTCAGCGGCTAAGAACATTTACGGTTCTTTCGGAGGACCTGGGTTCAGTTCCAGTCCCCAAGTGGCAGCTTACGACTGCCTCCAGCTACAGGGGCTCTAATGCCTTCTTCTGGCTTCAATATGCACCTCCACATATGTAGTGCATATACATACATGTAGGCAAACACAGAAATTTCTTTTAAAGTCAGCTGATTTAGTTTTGGGGCTGAATTCTGGGTCAAAAGATTGCCTCCTGTAAATGAACTAATATATCAAAAATTAATATTGACAAAGAAATTCACAGACTCAAGAAATTGGAATAATTTACCACACAAAGACTATTTTTGATGTTTAGGTTGAGAAAAGTGCCTTTCCCTCATAGTGCAAAAGACAAGCGTCAGGAGCACGAGTGTACATGAAGAGCTCAGCCATCGCCCATCTGCGCATGCCAGGCCTCCTAGTAGCAGATGGAGCAGCTCAGTTTAAAACACGAATCCAGTGGGTTTAGTGGGCTGCTAGAGCAGCAGGTGTCAAGTGTAAATACTAAACTGCAGATGGCAAAGTGAGTGAGCTTATCTGATGGCAAGATTGGCAAAGCACTGTTCCCAGTTGTCAAAGTGTCCCCAGAAATGACATAGGAAGCCCAGTGAGTTTTTGTCTGAACTATTGAAAGTGTTGGAATTCCAGAGCAAACGAACTACTGTATATAGACCTTGATTTGTAGTCAAAGGCACTCTTGACTGAGACTTGACTGAGGCAGGAGCCCAGGTCCTATGGGTCCCCTGCTATTTTAGTCTAACAGCTGCTCTTTCTAAATTTCTGTGTATCTGTGTGCGTGTGTGCACATGAGTGAGCATCCTACAGAAGCTAGAAGAGGGCATCAGAATCGCTAGAGTTGGAGTTACAGTGGGTTCTGAGCCAGCCAGTGTGGATTCTGAGACCAAACTCAGGTGTTTGGAAGAACAAGTGCTCATAGGTGCTGAGTCATTCCTCCAGTCCATCAGGGAGGGTGAGACCTTCTGCCGTGGGGGATCATCAAAGTGTCACATCATTTGGGGCACGACCTAGACCCTCCCCCGTGTGTCTGGGCTGAGAGAGTTTCTCTCTATAGGGAATGGGCTCCCAAAGCCTATTCATTCCTGCACTAGGGATAAGTACTGCCTCCACTGCCCGAGGCCCCATAGACTGCCTAGGCTTCCCAACTGACACGTTCAGAGGACTTGGTTTGGTCCTATGCTGGTTCTCCAGCTGTCAGACTAGGGTCTGTGAGCTCCCACTTGCTCAGGTCAGCTGTTTCTGTGGGTTTCTCCAGCATGGATGGTCTTGACCCCTTTGCTCATCACTCTTCCCTCTCTACAACTGGATTCCAGGAGTTCAGCTCGGTTCTTAGCAGTGAATCTCTGCTTCTGCTTCCATCAGCTACTGGATGAAGGCTCTATGATGGCATTTAAGGTAGTCAACAATCTCATTATGGGGGAAGGCATTGAAGGTGGCCTCTCCACTACTGCTTAGATTCTTAGTTGGGGTCGTCCCGTGCATCCCTGGAGATTCCCTAGGGCCAGTTTCTCATTATACCCATAATGGCTCCCTCTATTAAGGTGTCTCTTTCCTTGCTGTCTCTGTTCCTCCCCCAACTAGACCTTCCTGATGCCTCATGCTCTCCTCCCCCTCCCCCTTTCTCTGTCTCCTCCCTCCTTCCTTCCTTACCCCATGCTCCCAATTTACTCAGGAGATCTTGTCCCTTTCCCCTTCTCTGGGGTCCATGTATGTCTCTCTTAGGTTCCTCCTTGTTTCCTAGCTTCTCTGGGATTGCTAAGCACAGACTTTGTAGTTGGATTAATAATACTTGGGTATTGGCACAATCTCCATGTTTTTCCTGACCTGTAGGATGAGCATTATGGTGGTTGGAAATGGCTAAATGGAAGCTATTAGAGTTGTGATGACTAGGTAAAATAGTGAATGAAAAACAATGTATCTGGCCAGGTGTTGGTGGCGCACGCCTTTAATCCCAGCACTCGGGAGGCAGAGGCATGAGAATCTGTGAGTTCGAGGCCAGCCTGGTCTACAGAGCTAGTTCCAGGACAGCCTCCAAGACAATACAGAGAAATCCTGTCTTGAAAAACCAAAAAAAAAAAAAAAAAGAAAAGAAAAGAAAAAAAAAGAAAAAGAAAAACCATGTATCTGATTATAGGGAGGTATAGGGAAGGTGAGATCTCAGGGATGGTGAGTGGTGCCATGCCCCTTCTACCTTTTAATCCTAGACCCTTTACTCCATACATATTGCATATTATTGACACCATCAAAGATTTTCAAGATGTAGGTGTGAGTGGTTCCCTCCATACCTCCTTCTATTATTATCTGCCTGTGCAAAACTGGGGTGGCTCTTGAAGAATGAGAGTTGATTGTTGTTAACCTGTAATAATGTAATGGAAGTTGTGTGCATGTATGCCTGAGCTGGTTCTGAAGACATATTTCTTGAGAAGTAGCCAATATGCCTACTCTTGCTACACTGATTTTTCTTCCTAAGCATGCACTAATGGCCTCATGCATGGTGTGTATGTTCTTTAGGCTTGGTTGGTTGGGGAGAAGACTAGGTTCTAGTTTGTAGATGGTTCTACACACTATACAGACATCACTCAGAAGTAAACAGATGAAGCATTATAGTGTCTGTCTTGTACAACTCTGAAGGAGTATACTGAAGGGAAATCTTCATAGTGGGCAGTGTACATGGTTGTACAGTATACTTAAAAAATAGCCAAACATGAGACTGTACTGACTCATCTTTAACTGTTGGTTTGACTAGATGATCATGAACTTTGAAGTTGCAAAGGAAGGCATCTGTGAAAAGGTTCATTGGAGGTAAACACTCCCAAACGGTTTTTTTTCAGCAGAGATGAGCTTCAGTGATTAAGGAGATAGGATGGCATGTTCTGAGAATAAAGTCTCCTTCACTGGGTATCCCAGTGAATATGCACAGTCAGTCTTTCCGTGGTAGCAAAGTTGGAGGGTATGGGTGTGCTCAGTAACGTGGTCTTCCATTCACTGTGGCTGACCTGGCTATGGTGCTCCACAGTGTTCAGTACACTGTTGACTTCTCACCGACCTAAGCAGATCTGTGTCTATGAGACCTGGGATCTGAGGACCTCAAAGAATGGCAGACAACAGTGTAATGCTGTAGACGAGCTTATTTCAGTTTTATACACAAAAAGCAATGACCAAAGGAATATTGTTTGAATTCAGAAAAATCTAAATAAATGCTCGTAAGCACATACTAAATATTGACAGAGTATCCCTTTCCCAGAACTTTCTGAGTACAGACTACTTCAAACACAATTTTTCGGCATGAACTGCAGATTATATCTGAGAGAGCACAAAAGCAAGGCAGAAGGTTCAGGATACATTGACCAGATTGGGTTCTATAGTTGTGTTCTGTGTTCTGACATCCAACAAGAATAAACATATTTTATAATTGAATGCAAATGTAAATGTCACAGGAGGCATGAAATCGCATCCATGAACAATCCAGGGAACAAAATCACCTGAGGTGAAAGGCCCTCTGCCTTTTCTCCTGGAGCCTCTCTCACAGTTCCCCAAGGCATCCTCTTTTGACTGTGTCTTGACAGTATACCAACAGTAGAAGACAATGAGTAGGGGCTGGAGAGACGGCTCAGAGGTTAAGAGCACTGGTTGCTCTTCCAGAGGTCCTGAGTTCAAGCCCCAGCATCCACATGGTGGCTCACAACCATCTGTAATGAGATCTGGTGCCCTCTTCTAGTGTGCAACCAGAACACTGTATACATAATACGTAAATAACATCTTTAAACAAAGGCAATGAGTCCCCAATATGTCTCCATTCACCATGGTGACCATGTCTTATGGCAAGTTACCTATATTGGACCACTTCTGTCACAGAAAGTGCAGAGCCATCTTCACTGAAATAGATACTTATGATATGGATATGGATTTCCTGCACATTATGCTTTCACCAAAACTACCATCCAAGGAGCCGCAGGTTCCTTATCTTTCATCATGACCTCCCACAAAGCACCACTCATAACTAATTAACTCTCTTTACAGTCAAGGAAATGCAGCAGTGCGCTTGTACTTGTGCTTATGCAACTTAATTGTATTTCAGTGTTCTTTACCATCTTGTAGCAGCTGGCATTATAGAATAGTGGAATGGCCTCTCATAGACATGGAGTTCCAACTATGAGGCAATAACCTGATGTCTGCATTCAAGTGTTTAATGGTTTTATACTTTCCAAGTCAGTTTCCAGTGCACGGCATGGTCTGTCCCTCAGACAGGAGTAAAGGGCCCGGGATTCAAAGGCAGAGGGGCGTGGTGCCACTGGCCGTCACTAGGGTCTTCCTGGCAAAGCTGATGCTCCGTAACCTCTCAAGACTATACGATTTGTGCTGTTATTGAAGATGGTTTCCAGAACAGGGAGTGTTTCTGTCGAGAAGTCCAAACATTCCATTAGCCGCTGCAATTTTCCCTGGTACCACTGGGTTCTTTTTTTTTTTTTTTGTGGTTTTTCGAGACAGGGTTTCTCTGTGGCTTTGGAGGTTGTCCTGGAACTCGCTCTGTAGACCAAGCTGGCCTTGAACTCACAGAGATCCGCCTGCCTCTGCCTCCCGAGTGCTGGGATTAAAGGTGTGCGCCACCACTGCCCGGCTTGGAGGTTTCTCTTGTGTTGCTATGTCCTCTGATTAAGAGCGGTCAGAAAGTGTAACCCCTGGCAAGGTAAGGTGATAAATGTCCCATTCCCTTCAGAAGGTAATGTGTGGGTCATCGCCTTGGAAATGAGCTAAGATGAATTTCAAAGGAATACAGTGTGGATAGGAAATAGTTATAATTACTATGTGTGGCGGTGTGATCCTTGATAGACTTTGTTAATCATGCTTGTTGATGATGGACAAGGGTTTGAGAAATAGTTCATTCTTTGTCATTCTTTCTATGTAGTTTCCTCCTAATTGAAACATTCCCTCTAGGAATGGGGGGGATTCAATACACTCAGGGGGTAAGTGTTACATGTCCCCAAAAGACTGCAAGATTCTTTTTAGACCCTCACACAAGTTTATAGATACAGTAAACAGATTTTTGGAGCGAAGACTGCGGAGAGATTTCTGGGACCCATTGTGGCTGTAGGCTGTACAAAGAGTTCCAGAGTCAGAGCTAAGCCAGTGCTTCAGTTTGGATAAGTAATTTTGACACTTGGTTAATGTGGCTTCCTTCACCATCCTCAGTTCTTGCAAGGGGTGCTGTCAGAGAAGGAAAGGCAATCAGTCCCATAGGCAGCCTAACTCACAGGAAATAATGTCAAGGAAGAAAACCCACCCCATGAATGTCAACGCTGCAGGGGTAGGAGTCAATGGTGCTCACTTACACTCAGTGCTCCTGCTGCAGCGTCTCCATCTGCAGGAGGTTCTCACCCTGGGCTGTGGTCTGTTCCAGTTCATGCTGGAGGTTTTCAAACCTAGGGGAGGAAGACAGCCGGGACAGAAGCCTAGTGGGCACCTGCCATGCTAGCTTTTGAGCTCCCACCAGCTCTGCTCGGGTGGACAGCCCAGCATTATGTTTCAGCCAAGCCCATCCAGTCCTTGCTTCCTCAAAAGACAAGGGTAAGGCAGCACCTGGACTGGATTTTCTCTCCACCTTAAAAACCTTTTAGAGACTGAACTGAGAAATACAAGCTGTGCTGAACTAGAAAAACAGACTTTCCCCAAACATTCAGATACAATAGTTTGAAAAATAGCAGCATACCAATATCTGAGTCACAGTTAGTAGAGATATGCATGGTCTTGAAAAGATGCCAGGTAACAGTGAGGAACCTGGGAACCTAAATGTATGGGGCCCTCTAGCAGAGTCTACACAACACTGCAGTGAAGGCTCTGTTTATTCCTTCAGCACAGGAACTTCCTTGGGTTCAATATGTCAAACTCTAAACCTGCTTAATTCCAGAGAAACCTTACAGGAAACAGATGCTCGCTGCAGCGAAGCCATACTCAGTAAGAAGGTACTGCATGCAAATCTTCCCGAGGGTAGGGACTCATCTCTAAAGGTGATATCCTGAAGGAAAATAGAGTGGCAGGAGGACACATTGTCCTCCACCATTAACACTCTCCCTGTGAGGTCTGCGGTTGCCATAGGAAGGAGCAATGCACTCAGAACACAGGAGAGGACACAGAAGGGAAAAAAGGGAAACAATCCCCAGGAAGATTCAGGAAAATGCATAGAGTTTCCTGGTGACTGAGCCAGCCCTGTACTCTCAGGGGTTCTTTCCCTGTCTGTGACTGAAAGGCCATGCAGATGGCCAGAAACCCAAATAGGACAGAGATTCAGGTACAGGGGAACTACTCACTGCCACTGCCTCCTGCTGGCCTGGGCTCCTACCTCATCTGGGAGACAGTGAGGTGATGCTGCAGCTTCTCTGCCATGATCATTTGCTTGGTGACCAGATCTCTCTGCTTCAGCAGGTATTGCAATCTTTCCTCCAGTTTCTCCCGTTTCTGTTTATTAGATGATTATGTTCTTAGTGGATGGTAGAACACTCATATGCACACAGACATGCACACGCCTGAAGACACACTCATGCAAGTGTGTACACACAAAAGCATACCACATTGCATTCACATTTTTAGTTTCCCAGATAACACTAAGGTAAGAAGTGATTAATTTAAGAAGAACTAGTTAATTAATTGGAGAAGTTTAATTAATATAAGAAGGATCTTTGAGAAGAATCTTAACATTTCTTGGATAGAAGAACACAGAGGGAAGGGTAGATAAGCATCCCAGTCAATGAAGTGCTTGCTTGTAAATCCAGTGCACAAGCACATGGACTGCTGGTGTGCTTGGTCTATGGGCCATCTCTGCTTATCAAGTTCCCCAGTCTGTGCCCTAGAGACCTGGTTCCTCAGGACAACTGGATGGTGGTGGACCAGGCCCTTGCACTCATTCGTGCTTCCCAGTTTCTCCACAGTAAGCAGATTCCTGCAAGAGGAGCTCCTAAGCCACAGGCTGCCTCACTTCAGACACAAAGCAGTGAGCCCAGGAAACTAGAAAATCTCCACAACCAGGAGCCAATATAAACCTTTCCTCCCTGAAACATGACTGTGTCAGAGATTTGTTTGAGTGACAGAAGGCTGACTAACTCACAGTCAAGTAATATATATATATAATTTCCTGTTGAACAATATTCAGTGGAAACTATGGACTATAATGTACTGTTACATTCACAGATGTTGGGTATCTGAACAGTTTCTACTCCAGGGCTGCTCTGAAGAAGGCTGCTGATGTACCCCTGTTTTACTATGAACAACTATTTTCTATTCTGGAGTTACTGGGTTACTTGGGGACTGCAGTTCAACTTACTGAAAAATTGTGAATTGCCTCTCATGGGACTACACCAATTTACAATAGCAGCAATGTTTGAGAATCTTCCTTTCTCCTAACCCTCCATAAGGCCATTCTAACTCAGACTTAACAACTTTTGAACAAAAGCAGTTGTTGAGTGATGCAGACACAGGAGAGGGTGAGTGCTTTAGACTATAATATGCCTAAGGGAGCTTCACTGAGACAGCCTTATTCTCAAATAACAGCATGGCCAAGGAACTTCTGCTGGGTTGAGATACATCCACAAGCACCTCTGCAATTCAGAGGTTACCTGCAAAGAATTTCTGTTCAGATAAATATTTTTGTCTCTGCAAACACCTGAAAAACTGTTACCTTACAGCAGTTTCCTGCCTTTTTGTTCTAGAGAACTGTGTGGATATGCACAACAATGGGCAGATACATGTGATGCCTGATGACATGGTTTTGAACAGGGCTGTCACAGTACTTTCTCAGTAAAGTTGGTGTCCATCCGTGTTAAAGAGGTCCCATGGGTAAGTCAACAAGCATATAGAGGCTAAAGCCCACAAAGATATATACAAACTCAACATAAATACAAACATCACACACTTACACATGCAGACATACACACACCACCACCACCATCAACAACAAAATAATAGGAATTAATCATTTGATATCTCTCTGTATCTGTGGTCTCATTTCCTTAATAAAAAATACAAACAGAATGGATGTAAAAACAGGGACCATATTGCTGCTGCATACAAGAAATAAAACTTCAACATCAACTATAGACATTACCTCAGGGTAAAGGATTTGGAAAAGATAATTTAAAAATGGACCTAAAAAGCAAGCTGGTGTAACAAATTAATGTCTAACAAAATTGACATCAGACCAAAATTAATAAAAGATATGGGGAAGGACACACCGCCAAGATGACATTCAAATTCTTTTTTTTCTGAACTCACAGAGATCCGCCTGCCTCTGCCTCCAAAGTGCTGGGATTAAAGACGTGCGCCACCAACACCTGACTGACATTTAAATTCTTAATATACCACTTTTGTAAAAGAATCATTACTGTAGCTTAAAACACATATTGACCCTCACATACGGATACTGGGAATGTCAATACCCCAATCTCAGCAATGTGCACATCAAAAGTGTGAAGATCATAAGGACAAGATAAAAAGAGAAATGCTGGAGTAACTGAAGTGATAAACAAAATAAACCTAACAGATATTTATAGAACATTCTACCCATACACAAAAGAGTATACCTTGTGAAAAGCACTCTAGAACTGACCACAATGGATTACAGCTGTATATCAACAACAACTGAAAGAACAGAAAGCATAGAAGCTCATAGAAACTCTACCCCAATGAAAAGTGGACTAAAAAGAAATAAATAAATTAAACACTTTCTAGAATTCAATGAAAATGAATACATATCATACCCAAACTTATGGAACACAATGGAAGCAGTATTAAGAGGAAAGTTCATGGCTACTGTAAAGGGTGATGTTTCTCTAATTTCTTTCTCAGTCCATTACCAAACAAGTGAAAGACCTGTATAACAAGAACTTTGGGTCTTTAAAGAAGGAGATTAAAGAAGACACCAGAAAATGGAAAGATCTCCCATTCTTTTGGATAGGTAGGGTCAACACAGTAAAAATGGCAATCATGCCTAAGCAATTTATAGATTCAATACAATCCCCATCAAAATACCAACACAATTCTTCACAAACCTTGAAATACTCAACCTTATATGAAAAAACAAAAAACCCAAGAGCCAAAACAACCCTGTACAATAAAGGAACTTCTGGAGGCATCACCATCCCTGACTTCAAGCTCTATCGTAGAGCTATAGTAATGAAAACAGCTAGGTATTGTCACAAAAATAGATAGCTGAACCAATGGAACTTAATTGAAGAACCTGATATTAACCCACACACCTACAAACACCTGATTTTTGACAAAGAAGCTAAAACTATACAATGGAAAAAAAGAAAGCTTCATCAACAAATGGTGCTGGCATAACTGGATGCTAGCATGAAGAAGATTGCTAATAGATCCATATCTATCACCATGCACAAAACTTAAGTCCAAATGGATTAAAAAGACCTCAACATAAATCCAGCTATACTGAACCACTTAGAAGAGAAAGTGGGAGGTACCCTAAAATGAATTGGTGCACGATACCACTTCCTGATCATAACTCCAGTAGCACAGAGATCGACAATTAATAAATGGGACCGCCTGAAATTGAGAAGCTTCTGTAAGGCAAAGGACACAGTCAACAAGACAAAACAGCAGCCCACAGAGTTGGAAAAGATGTTCACTAACCACACATGTGATAGAAGGCTGATCTCCAAAATACACAAAGAACTCAAGAAGCTAGTCACCAAAACACAAAATAATCCAATTAAAAAGTGGAGTACAGAACTAAATAGAGAATTCTCAATAGAGAAATCTAAATGGTTGAAAGATACTTAAGAAAGTGCTCAATATCTTTAGCCATCAGGGAAATGCAAATAAAAAATGTTTAAATATCATCTCGCACCTGTCAGAATGGCTAAATCAAAAATACCAATGACAGTTGATGCTGGAGAGGATTGGAGAAAGGGGAACAGTCCTCCACTGCTGGTAGGACTGCAAACTCCTACAGCCACTTTGGAAATGAGTATGGCAGTTCCTTAGGAAAATCTGTTGTGGAGACACCAGACCTTGAGCAGAAACCCACTTCCCCTTCGGCCTGGGAGCAGGCATCTGTGTAATGTTTACTGAAAACAATTCAGTGCTTTAAAGCTCTTGATAGGGCTCAGATAAGGGCTCGCTCACTGAGATACCATGACTTTCACACCCCCTACGGCTAGATGCCTCTTCCTGTCCCCGCCCCCCTGCGGTGTCTCCCCGATTCTGGGGCTGGAGATTAAACCACCAGCCAGGAGGGTGAGAAGTGGAAAGAATGGTATGTAAATGGATGGCAAAAGTCCTTAAAAAGGGAAGCTCTTTTTTCTTGGAGAGACTTCTCCTGAGACCTCTCTCTCCTAAGCGGACTTGGAATCTCCTCCTAAGCTGACTTGGGAAGCATAAAGTTTTCTTAAAGCAACCGACCGGTCTCTGTGTCATCTATCCCGACCACCTCGCTACATTCTCGGATGCAGGCCGCACAACAGGTGCGACAATTGGAGGATCCCACCGAGATTGTGAAAGCGAGGTAAGTGAGCGGGTTCGTCTCCTTTTCTGGCCAGGGACAGATTGGGGAAAAAAAGAAAAGAAACCATGGGGAATAGTTCTGGGAAGCTTAAATTACAGTATCAAGTTAAAAAGTTACTTGAAGGACATGGGACTACAGTAAAGTCTAAAACCTTAGAAGGCTTTCTAAAGTCGATCGAATGAGCCAGTCCATGGTTCATTACCGGGGGGAGGGGAGGGGGGGGAGCTTAAATATCCCAGATTGGGAGGAGGTTCGCCGTGATCTTCATCAACTTTTACGAAAAGAGGGACCTGAGTCCCTGCCCCCATCTACATTCTCCTTATGGAGATTAGTGAAGGGCGCACTCTTGACAGATAAGGCTAGCCACTGCCAGGTAGTCCAGGCCACAAAAGAGGCTTTTTCCGAGTTACAAGAGATTGAGACTCAAGCCTCCCTGAGTTCTGAGGCAGAGAGTGACATCTGGAGAAACCCTGACTGAAACTAGAGGCTCCATTGTTAGTGAGGATGAGGAGGAGCCTCTTAGCAACAACAAAAGAATTAATAGAAATCTCGGGGTGCGACCCAAAAGGAGGGACTTCAGTCAGAATCGGGTATATCCTACTCTGTCAGACCTAGAAAATGAAAATAGCTCAGACCCAGACTCTGACTCGTCAGAGTCTGAGAAGGAACGGTTACTTGCTGAGGTCTCCGCCCTTAAAAAGGCACTAAAAAGGACTCGAATTAAAAAAAGACAGGACAGGGAGAGAAACCCTCCATACTCTAAAATGAGGGACTCCTCCTTCTCGGACCTGGAGGGAAGACCCAGAGGAGGGGTCCAATGCTATCCGGTGGTGGCCCCAGTAATGGAAGTTCCAGACCCAAACAACCCTGAGCGGGTCATTAGGCGCCATAACCCTTTAAGTTTCAAAAATATGAAACAACTGAAAGAGGCAACTCTAAATTA